CATTTTTCAAGCTGAGCTTACATTCCAAAAGTTAATTTCATAAGTGATTCAGTTTGAAGTATCATGAAAACACAAACTAATGTGGTCAACTACACACATTAGAATACATTACATTTCAAACCGCAGTTGCACAATAATATTCAGAGAAGCATTTCTACCATAAAACAGAAATTACTACTACTTAATCAAGTAACCAATGTCACAAAATTAGGATTTACCATATCCAGAGTGACGGCCTTTCCTTTTGGCCTCCTTCATCCTGCGGGCACGGGATCGTGAATGAATTTTGGTTGGTTTCCTGATGATGAAACCATCCTTCACCAACTTTCTGATGTTTTGCCCTGCACTCAAATCAAACAAGGAGAATTAAAGCCAACCACCAATATGTGCAGAGACAAACATAAAAAGAAAGCAAAAATGCATCCATCTGCAAGAGCCTTCTCAAGTCTTATCAATGTGAATGCTAAAAAGGCTCAAACACCATGTGAGCTCAAGCTATATGTTTAAGCTTTTCCTTGTGTTAAGACCATTACTTTTCCCCCATTACCACCAAAAAGAAGCAAATAAGAATGAAACATCTCCCACACCTTTGCAACTTTACCCTTTGCAGCACTTACATGACCAAAACTCTAAATTATCAATCAATCTTCCAATTATGCTCAACCCCATATCAACTGACATCAACTATATAAATCCTCTACATCCATTACATTTCACTACTAAATAATCTGTCATTAAGATAATTAACAGTTCTCTAAATCTATCTGCAGATGGGTAGCTAATTCGGTCTCAATTAGCTAAGATTGCCTCTATGAATCCTTTCTTCCATTCTGCTACAACTTTTAAAAACCAGTATACATAAAAATCCAAGCAACAAATACTAGTAATCTTGATCATGCAAAACACATACATATCTAACAATCACAAGCTCTTGCAGTAAACACACTCGATTAACATCAAAACCCAAAAGTAAAAAAGAACAAGAACAAAAATAAAAATGTGATAAAAATCCAAGAAAACATAAAGGGTATAGTTAAAATAAACTAAAACAATCAAAATCATGAACAGATCTTAAAATAAACAGAGTTCAAAAGTAATCATACTTGAGTTAGCCATGGAGATTTCATTGCCCTCATTAGGGTCAAGCCATACTTTTCCTCTCCCACACTTGAGGACACTGGCGGCGAGCCGCTTCTGAAGTTTCAGTGACACCATTTTTGTTTCCTCTCTCTGTCTCTCTCCCTCACAATCTCTCTTCCACAATGGAGAATAAAGAAATTGGCTACAGATAAGGCTTATATATTCAGCCACCAATGAGTGAAGCTAGGGTTTTTGATAGGGCTTAGTGTTTTTGTTAAACAAAAATAATAAGAAAAGTTTATTATGGCCCATGTTGATTGTATTGGGCTTACAAAATCGAGTTCAAAATGGGCCTTAAAGATAGATTGGGCTAAGCCCATCTTCTTCTGGTACAAATTGAAAGGACCAAAGAGATCTTTTTCATCATTCGGCCCTTCTTTTGAATAGTTATTATATTATATATTATATATTATATACTATATAATAAGAGTGAATAAAATTCACTCTTCTTTCGACACGTGGCACCATGGCCC